GTCCCATCCAGTAGCCGCTAGCCGCGTGCGCTGTTTCCATTTAAATCGATTAACATGAACTGAAATCAATACTTATGCTCCTTGGGCTCACTGGCCACGTTCAAGGGCTCAGGAGCCCACGTGTGGCTGCCACGTTGGGAGCGTGGTTTCGATGTTCGGGGGGACAGTGCCGCTGCAGGCTGCCCTCACACAGGGCTGCCACCAACACTGTCTCCTGTGATGCTCGATGCCACCAGCCTTCTGTGCCCGAGGCCGTTCCTTGAGTGGGACCACTCCCTGCCCCCGAGCCCCCCGCCCCAGTGGGGCTGGCCCAAGCTTGCCCTATCCTCGGCCTCCTCTGTGCCTCGTCTCTGGGGTCTTGGTCCTAATGACGTGTCCCCCTCAGCCAGGGGCCTCCTGCATCCAGACTCAGTTCTCATGACCATTCTGCCGAGTAGGTGGGCACTGAGGCGTTGAGTTCCTTCGTCAGCCTTCAGGGACAGTGGGCAGGATGGCACGCTGCGGGGGGTCCTCTGGGGTCCTCTTCCCGATCCCCTCCTTGTTCACAGGGGATGGGAGAGGCTCAGAGAGGTCCAGAGAGGGGACGGGCCAGGCTCAGGGCGGCGTGAGGGCCTGACGGCAGAACCGAGATCGGCACAGGCCAGTGTGGCCCAGCTTCGGGGTGAGCTGGCACTCCCGTGACCACCCTCTGTCTTGTCTCCCTCCCTAGGCACTCCTGGACCTTGGTGGCTCCCCCAACTACAAGGACCGCCGGGGGCTGACCCCTCTGTTCCACACGGCTATGGTGGGGGGTGACCCCCGCTGCTGCGAGCTGCTTCTGTACAACAGGGCCCAGCTGGGCATAGCCGATGAGAACGGCTGGCAGGAGATCCACCAGGTGCTCCCCGCTTGGCCAGGAGGGGCTTGGGACCGGGTGGGGAGGGGTGCTTGGGCCCCAAGAGGGGTCAGGGATCAGGGATCCTGGTCCAAGGGGCTGGGGATCCACGGGATGGGGGTGAGAGTACATGGCCCCCAAAGAGGAAAAGATGGGGGTGTCAACACTGGATGGACTGGGGGCCTGGACGCCTTGACCTCGAAGACGGTTGGGGATAGCCTCTCAGGCCTCTGGAGGGGCCGGACCAGACACCGAGGCCTTGGAATGGCTTGCGAAGCTGACAGCCCGGGTGTCTAAGCAGCAAGGGGGAAGGGGAGGTCGAGGCAGGGCTTCCTGGCTGGGGGATGGACGACGTGGACAGACGCGGTGGTCGGAAGGGTCTGACCCGGCCTCCTCGGCTCCCCGTCCTCCCCAGGCCTGTCAGCGGGGTCACTCGCAGCATCTGGAACACCTGCTCTTCTACGGGGCTGAGCCCGGAGCCCAGAACGCCTCGGGGAACACGGCCCTGCACATCTGCGCTCTCTACAATAAGGTGCGGCTGGCCCTCCCCCTGCCTCCAGCCTCCCTGCCGCCCCGGGCCCTCCACCCCTTCCCCGCCTCCCCTGTCCACTCGTCCCCCGTCCACTCGCTCGCTTGTTCATCCATCCATCCAACAAGTCCCGATTGGGTGTCTTCTCTGTGTCAGGCCCAGAGCTGGGCACCGAGGGCCCAGGAGGGAGCCTGACGGTCAGCCGCTCCAACGGGATGTGCCGGCCGTTGCAACCCACAGTGTTCAGAGGGAGGTCACGGGACAGCCAGGTCCCGGTGGGAGCACGGGCCTGGCCCCGGGCGTGGGGCTGGCATGGTGGTGCCACCTGTGGCAGGCCAGGCGGGGGTCAGCTGAGTAGACAGAGGGGAGAAAGGGCGTCAGGTGAGGGGCTGAGGCCCGGGCGAGCCAGACAGGAGTCGGGACCATGCCCGGGAGGGAAAAGACCCCGCGGTTCTATGCCCCGTGAGTCTCCCTTCAGGCACCTGCTGGGTGCCGCCACAGGGGAC